GGCCTTAACGCTGACATTTACAAAAGGTTGTCAACACTTCCAAACCCAGTATGTTTTCTAACAGAAGTTGAAAGCTCAGAAGAATGAAACAGAGCAGTTTTGCTTTTCTCCATCCAGCCTCCAAGGTGGCTGCTGAAGTCAGTCCCCAAAGCTGTGAAAAAGACAAAGCTACACAATGACAGATTCCAAGGTGAATCTGATTCATTGGCCAATATGTCCACACAGAAAATACAACTGCCTTTAGAATAGTTTATTGATCACGTCCTACTTTCTTTGACTTCATTCTTAAACACCTCACTGACGCTGAAAATACTGAACCTTTAACCACATCTCTTGAAAACCTTTGAGTGTGATGAAACAGGATTAATTTAGTAGACCTCTATAAAATGGGAGTCGTCTGTCACATCTTTTATTTTATTTGTTAATAACTCAGTTATTTTTTATAGCTCCGACGTCTGAAAATGCTGCCATCATGCATACTTCTTAGAACATTCAACAAAGCAAAAATATGTGTACTACAACACCCAGTATCATAAAAGAATGATGATTTACTAATAAGGGTTTGAAGGGAGGCAAAAAAAGCAGGTCTGTAAGAAAGATTTGGAAATGTGTAGAAACTTTGCATCTTGTATTGTTTTGATTCTAAAACATTTACAAGTATCATGGTGTTTATCAACAGCAATGCATGGTCTTGTGTTCACACTCAGGCTTTTTTGCTTACATATTCTACTTAGTTTCGATCAAAAGTGTTTTATTTTTGGCTATGGATTCAAACCTGACAATACTTCTCTATTTTTTCTAACATTTGATACAGACTATTCAAGCATATTTCTTAAAGTATTTATGGTAACAAAATAAAAATACATATTTTGCTTACCTCTGCACATTAAAAAACATTACTGTTTGCCAAAGGAGGTCCAGTCTTTACACAAGAAGCAGCAAACAACTTTTTTATTATTTTTGACAAACAGAAATGCTAAGAAAATGGATTTAAGTCACCAAATAGGCAGAGATTTTCAATGCTTCAGCTCAGCTGAGAAGAACTTTCTTAATAACCCCATAAGGAAGCACCAGCACAGCCACCAGCTGCAGTTCAGCTGCAATACAATGTTCATCATTACATTGCAGGGTTTTTTTTTTCTGTACACATCCAAATCATTAATCAGACAGAGTATGACAAAGTAAAACTCAGCATTAACAAAACAAAGACTTGCAGACTGAAACAAGTTAATGACAAGTCGACCTGGAGATGTCCTACGATGGCTGCTGTTGCACAAAGAGCCTAATGGTACTGTGCACAGTTGAGCAAAAACAGAAAACAGATGTTTGTCATTTCGTCAAGCAGTCTTCTGTGTCCTTAAAAAACGTATTGGAGGTTAGAAAAACATGAGCCGTCACTCTTGAACAAGTATATGACCAGATGGGACTTTCATAACCCCCCTCACTCCATCCTCATTTCACTAATGGATTTGTGGTGTTCCAGAAATACATGCACTTTATTAATTTTTTTATTTTTTTTTATAATGCAAACATGCTTCATATTTTTTATACTCTGGTATGAGCTTTCACTCACTTTATTTTAAGGCTTTTATTTTGTATCCAATCATTATTGTCCAATCTAATGAAAGGAGAGTATCTTTTAAAGCGTCGCTTTGAATCCAACCTTATTTTATGAATGAAGTTAATTTTCTGTCCTCCTTAATGATTTTATTCCCATTTACACAAGATACTTAACATCTAGATGGAAAACACTGACATCCATAAACACATCTTCTCATGGAATGGGAAATGATGGGGACTGATATAAGGAGATAAAGGGGACAGACAATGGAATGGCTCTTCTATACCTCATTTACCAGCAAACCGCTTAGCAAAGCCATTGGCATTTCCGGGGTCAAGGGAGCTAAATGAATGTTCTTCATATCCTATGGTGACTCGTAGAAAGGCAAAAGTGACACACACAGACGCCCCCCCCCGCCTCCCCCCCCCCGCCCACACACACACACACACACACACACACAAACGTTGTTTCTCAGTCAGTGTGATTTATACCGGGACCTCGGGTGACAGTCATGGGCCGTTGATTCTGTCACAGCAGAACAAGAGAGAAATAACTTAATGGATGTGGATATTGAGTAACAGACATTAATGCAGAAGGCCAGAATAACAGGAAGGGAGCCCTGACCTCTATGGCAAGAGCAGAGAAGACAGAAGGCAAATGGGCACAGATGATCCTCAGTCTTGATTTACAGCAAGAACTGCTGTTCACAGTACTAAACCATAATCCAACAACTGATGCGACCTTTCCCAACCCTAACCTTTTAAGCGGTTGAAAACAGGTGTTTAAATTAACCAAGAAATAAACTCTGTATAAAGGAGGGAATTATTTCTTGAGCGAGATGGAAGAAACAATTTTAAAATCCCATCCATGATGTGAAATATCCCCTTTTTTATAGTAATGTTAGTCAATTGATCAGGATCTGGGTCTAATTAAGGTCCTCAGACAATTTTTCACAGTGCATCTCTAGTTGGTATACATCAGCAACTTGTAGTTATTGTTAAGATTGGTTTTATAGAGGACAAAAATTTTAGACAACTGATTGCTTTGTTGAGTGTGGAGCACCAGGACTATGCTTTGGTAGACTTCTAAGAAAAGGGAGTTGACTGTTGCATCCCTTGTTTTATTTGTCGATGACACTTACTTTTTCTGAAAATACTGCCCTCATGCACAATTTTTAGACCATTCAGCAAAGCAAAAATATCTGCACTACAGTACCCAGTACCATAAAGGAAGGATGATGGCAGAAAATGCAGAACTGAAAGTAAATCTTATAATATTTTAGAAGAAGGATTTGGAAATATATAGAAACTTGGAGTCTTTTGTTGTTCTTACTCTGAAACATTGTAGTTTTTAAATTAAGCTCTGACCTCATTTATATAGTGAGTCCTTATCATTTGGAAAGAACATTGTATGTTTGGACAAGTGGAGATGTTTCTCAAGTAATGTCATTTTAATGATAAGTCAAATGATTAAGCAATTAATCTGTTTGAGTTACTATGGGAATCATTTTCTTATGTGACTCATTTTGGGCCCCTCTTTTTGTTTGTTGCCTTCTGTCCCAATTTGTCTCAATCTACCTCCTGTTGAAAGTGATGCTATTGCCTCAGCCAAGTCTTCTCATTAGTGTTTTCCAAATAAGGGGCATCCGGTTTAAGTTCCAGTCTTTACAAGTTGCCATTAACAGAGATTTTTTCCACATCCCCTCTCCCTGATGGATGGTGTCCCTCTGGGTTAATAGTCCAAATATATCATAGAAGCCAGTGATGCGGTCTGTCATGCAGCATTTCCTACCAAACTAACTGTTGTGGTGAGGAATTTCAACATCAGTCACTGGAGCCTGCTATAGTCAGATATACCTGACGTTCATTTAATTTTGAAATGCTGTGCCTTGCAAAATTAGTAATACCCCTTGTAATTTTTCCAGAGGTTATCAGGATATAATTACCAACAGCGACATATTTTATTTCTATCTTGTGTTATGGCCCAACACAGAAACATTCAAACTTTTTTTTTTTAGTAAATGGAAAGCATAAAAAAAATAGAAATAGAAAAAAATGTATGTCAAATATCACATTTCAACCCCCTTGGGTGTAATTATAGCTGCGTGGTGGTTGGGCTCATTCATATCCCAGCTTTCCACATTCAAAGACTAACATTTTTATCATCTATATATATATATATACCTTTTACCACATATATACTTTTTACCATATATCTTTCTAAAACTGCATTCATTTAGCCCCATCCATCTTCCTATCCCCTGCTGAAGAAAAGGACCCACACAGCCGGATTCTGCCAGAATGGGGACGCTGTTTTCAAATAATTTGAAGTTTTACCTCACAGATGACATTTTGCAGACGAGCCAAAAAATAAATTAATTCCTCCTCTCAATAGAGAATCTTTGTCCAAACATTTGCTTTTCTTTTTCTCTTTGGTAGAAATTCATGTCTTGTTAAATTTCCAGTTGTTTCTTATTCTCTGATCTGTTTTTGGATGATGGATTAAACTAAGCTCTGTTCAGGGCTTGGGAATTGTTTTGTGGCTTTCTTTGCACGTAAGTGATCTCTAGTTATTAAATATGTAACTTGTAAAGACACCTTGTTGTACTGTTTTTGATTTAGATTCTTCAGCGTACAAGAGGTGACATGAAAATGTACCGGATAGTTCAGATTTTTATGTATGTGGCTCTATTAATACCCTACAATCTCTGGTTAGCAACAGAAGCAGGACAAGTCAGAACTGTAGAGTTGATTCTTTTGGATAAAAAAAAAAAAAAAAAATCACTTTGCTCTTTTACACCAAACTCTGAAAAAGAAAAATAGTTTGCTGGAGATTTTGTCCCTCACAACCTCGGACAGTTTGGAGCACACACTCACTCTAATGTAACACAATAGAATACACACACACATTGCCCAGGTCAAACAGCAAGCATTTATAACCAACCTCACCCATGACCGCACAGCCTCGGCCCGATTAATTCAGCCTCCACAGACATGGATCCTCAGGTTAAACAGCAGCCTCGCAGCACTGAGCCAAGTGAGCAGTCTTGATGGATGACTGCGGCTCAGAGTCCTGACGTGTCTGATAAACGTGGAGCGGCTGATATGTTTTTAAACAATGTAGTCCTACCCACACATTTAACATCCATACGCTGAAACCAGGGAAAAGCTTTCAGGATGATTAATAACAATTTTAGCTCTTTCCAGGCAGGGGATCTGTAATACAGAGGGGCTGATCTATCTGTTAAATGATAGCTTTCTGGCTTTCATGTGCACGGGTTTTCATTCAGTCGGTATGCCAAAATGTGACAGCACTGTTGTAGATGGAGTGAAAATCTTGACAAGAGAATACAATGAGTTCTATGTTTATGCGGGAGACAAAAAAATATATAAAAAATACTGCTGACACTGCATGATCATTTACATTTGATTTCTTTCAGCATCAATTCAGACATGCAGACCGGATCAACAACAGGCCATCTACGTGAGAGAGATGCTGATGGGCTGTTGGACCGATTTTGTTAGAGGAGACAAAGCGGAGGTCCACATCCTCAACCTCATGTTGACCAAGGTAAGACTGTCTGAGTTGTACAAAACTGAGATTACATATGAGCACATCCAAACAAGTCAACCATTATGCTACCATCAGCAGAATGCAAATACACCATTGCAGTATTTTTGGCAGAAGCGTCATATGAACACCTCAGTCAATCTGTGAAAAAGATTCAAAATTCAGTCAGCAGGTGAATACAAGATTATTATTTCTATCCTGAAACCTTGCATCAGAAAAATTGCTGCAGCTTAAGCCGATTTGTGTCCTGGCAGTTGGAAGTTTTCATCAAACAAGAAAGTAAAAAATAAACACAAAGAAAAAAAAATATTCAATTTTTAAATTCCAAATATTTAATTGAAGCTTTTATTTTCATTATAAAAATAAAATTCAAGAAAATCTTTTTAGGATTAAACTGAAACCAAAAATACTTGCAAAGTATCTGTTTACCTCAACTGCGTTGACACATGAATATTCTTAACACAGAATAAAGATAAAAGAACAAGATCTCTTATAAAAAAAAAGTAGCATGTGTGTCAGACTAACTTCATTTTTGTAAGTGGGATCTCTGAAAGATTTGCCTGGACTCGGCTTGTACAAGCGGAGCTATAGAGAGAGTCAGAATAAGAGTATATAAGCAACCCTATTTTTTTTTTGCTAGCCGGTCATTGGTCAGACTGTCAAGCATGCCCACATGAAAGAGGTTTAGTGAGAACAATAGATCTAAAAGTCATGCTTTAGAAAGGAATCAGGGATACCCTGAGAGAATCTATGCAAACATGCAAACCCATAGAAGAGAAAAAAGCTCAGACTGGAATACAAATCAAGAACCTTCTTGCTACATGGCAACAGTGTTATCCACTGTTTCACTAAGTGCAACTGCAAAATAAGAACTATGTGTATTAAAACCAGTATCAGTAATGACCCACATCCACATTGTTCCAGCATGGAGACACATATGCTGTAATACCCACTCCCTCTTCCCCTCATTCTCTCAATAAACCTTGATGTAAGTGGTTTCAGCTTTTTCCATTGCATTATTAAAATACATAGAAATTCAGCACGCTTGAAGTTTGTTTATATCCTTGGCAGCCTCAAATAATTGGGAATGCATTTCACATCCTTTACAATTATTTTTTAAAGAGTACACTAAGCACAAAGGTTTATCAGTAAATATCGTTGCATATAACATGGTATCCAATATGTTAAGTTGTCATATTGAGACGTATCCTTAAAATGTAATCCATTTCTGTCACTCAATAAAAAAAAAGAAGCTAAACTCAGATATTAATTAGGTCTATTACACACATGGGATATATTTAAACATTAGTTTAAGTGTATTTCTTCTAATTTTGGTTAAGATCATAACATTTGATTTTAGAACAGCCAATGAAGTCTCAAAATTCAGCGTCCCCATGCTGACGTAGAGCAATCCTCCCCCAATCATTCCAGGGCACTTGCCAGCAACTGACCAATCAGCGTTCCAAGAAGAGTACTCTGACAAATCTGACAGTAGCTAGCATGGAAAACACACTGCAGTCAGCGAGATTTAGAGCTAATAATAGCCACTGACAACAGGCATATTACCCAATTTTCAGTGGCTAATATGCATTCCAGAGAACCATTACCCAGAACGTATAGAGGGCGGTATACAATTTATTAAATTCCCCAAACCAAAAAGGAGTCTGGAATAATAATAATAATAATAATAATATAATAATAATAATAATAATAATAATAATAATAATAATAATAATAATAATAATAATAATAAAGCATTTAAACATTATTTCATATAACTGCTTATTTCTAAATATTTTCCTGAAAGCAGATTTTCACAAGCTGGTATTATTTTAGTCATTACTCACCCATTTTGTACTTGCAAAGTGCGTCCCACGGCATTCATACTCACATCCAACCAACCCTCATTTTTCCTCTTGGGCTTTATTGTTGATTTCTCTATTATTTCCCACTAATAATCTCATAGACCTGATGCAGGACAAGTTAGAGAATTTTCTGGCCTGCCGTGTTTACCTCAGCGTTGGTTGATAAGGCAAAAAAAGACTCAAAAAATTTCTTGGGTAACACACTGAGGTCCGTTAGTCTGCCGTAAAAACGGGTGACTTGTCAGAGGGCAGTTCTACTTCCGCAAGGGGGCGGGGCCAGAGTCATGTCAACTGTCAGGGCATGGAAAATACATTTTTAATACAAATATGTTGGAAAGGTATTTCCATGCAGAACACAGCATATGCATTCTATACTTAGTTTGTCCTCATTTTGCATGAATTATTGCATCAATGCGGCGTGGGATGAAGGCAGTAAGCCTGTGCCTCAGGTGTCATGGAAACCAACATTGCTTTGAAATTAACAAGTTTCTTTTTAATTTTAATTTTTTTTTTGACACTTCATAGATTCCTCTTGACACCATCACAGAATTGTTGGACTTTTGATGTATAAAGAAAAGACACACAAGCCTTTTGTTGTTCACAAATGCACAGTGACCTGTGAGGTTAATAACCGCTTCTTGACTCGGTGCATTTTGGCTCGCTGTCACAACGTACTGAGCTCAGATGTTATCAAAGATAGCTTTTGTTGAATTAGTCTGTTCTTGGTCAAATCTGTGGCTCTGTATTATGTACAGAGGTTTATTCCAGTTCAAAATGAGCAGCCGAGCCATGCGACGTGATAAGCTGATAAACTCAGCACTGACAGTTTGATGTTGCCCAGGAGGAATCAAATGAATGCTAATAATGTTCTCAGAGGAGCTTATAGGGAAGCTGCTGCAGCTAAACTGCAGACCAAGGCTGTAAGATCAAAAAATGATTGAATTATAATGAAACATGCTTTTGTTCAAACACATTTGACTGTGAATTTGACTCAACGTGCTGCACACAAACTAATCCTCATGTTGAAATGAGTCCACAAACTATGTCATGACATCATAAAATATAACACACAGAATTTCACTGCATATTCAACGCTATTATACAGATAGTGGAGACATTTTTCAGACACTAGAAATGACTACAGATTTTCCCAACATGTCAGTGTTTTTCTGGCCTTTTTAACTGATAGTTGATTTAATTTGGCAGCATTTTGTTGTTTTTTTTTAAAGAGATTTTCCTGCTAAAGTAACACAAAATAAGTGCTGATGGCACACTGGGGCAATTTGATTTTTAAGCAATTCTTTAAAGAATGACATTGAGAACTTACTTCAGAAAACTTTTAATCTATGTGCAGTTATTGCTCTGCTGGAGCACATTTTTCACTGCCCAGTGCTGTCGGTCGGCTCACATTATTCATTCCTTTATCAGCGAGTTGTTTGTACTATATGGGACTTCCATTTAACCTTTGTTAAACTGCTGTTTGGTATTTTTAGTTTAGTTTTTCAGGATTTATATTCAGTTTTCTCACATGGATTGAAGCGGCTCTCTTCATTCTGCCTATGATGGTGCAATACTGTGTAATCTCATTAATCCATTTTATCTGTTAAATCATTGCAGTGATCTTTCCCTCAGATGCTTCTTGGAAAACCTGAAAGATTATTTCTTAACTAAAAAAGTGCTGCAGTTTATAATCAGTGTGGTAAGTTAGGCGTTGCATTTTACAGTAACTATTTTGGCTGTAAGCATGACTGATGGCTTCATACAAGTTTTATTTCCCAATTCAGTTTCAACATGTTGCAAACGGGTGTTTGCATTTGTTTCAAATGCTGCTGAGCCTGACACTAAATCAGTGGAAAATGCATCCCGATGATAAAACACATTTAACACATTTCTGGAAAAAAGACATTTTAGAATACTTCATTTTAGTGTGGGGCTTAACAAGTTTCAACAATGATTAAGTCCTAGAAATGCAGAGGACATCATAGAGAGCCGTCATACTTTTTTCTCAAATGGGACTAAAACTGAATCCTATTTCATAATAACCCCATTATGAATAAATCCAACCCCATCTTAGTCATTTTGAAAGGTAACTGAGCAAAATCCGTCTTCAGAAGTAAAATTTTCTGAGACACATTGGCGACTCTGCCTCTTCAGTTCTTGTACGGTTTATTAACTGATTAAGCAGATGTTTATGATTCAATCTCCTAAGTCTGTGAAGAGGCAGACTTATTTTTTCGACTGCACTCCAGTGAGATATTGACATGCCATCTATTTAAGAACAATGAACTGGCAACAGCTTACAACTTCTTCTCATTTTATTAAATATAATTTAGAGGCTATACTTTGAATTTATAGGAGTCGTTTGGCCTTGATGGATGGATGGGTGGAGGAATGGATTTGTCTTTGGAGTGGATATTTTATCAAGTGAAATATATAATAAATTAGTCATAAAATGTTTTCACAGAAAACTCTTATCTAATCTGTTGTAAAAAGAAAAATAAAATGCAGGAAACACACACAAAAAAATAGTGAAAAATATACAGTCAGCAGGGAACTTTACTCTCCCTACACCTTTCTTTGTCCTTTAAAGTTCCTTATCACCTCCTTCCTCATCCTTTTATTTTTTTTCTTGATTTACAACCCACCCGAGACATTTGACTATCACAGTTTGACCACACTGCTGAATTATAGCAGGAGCATCAAGCGGCTGCACAAGCCAGCAGAATTTGCTGGGAGGTGCTGCCTGTGTGCTGGACCCATTGATGTCACACACTGGCTTGGTGTCTTGGCACCAGGCCGAGACTAGACCAATGGAGCCGACACAACTTAGGGGATAGAGAGCCAAAAGAATAACTGGAAACTGCATCAGCAAAGGCCCTTGAAAAAAAAAAGAGAGAAAGGATTCAGAGAAAAACAATTGTATCCTGAAAGCTTAGGAACAAAAGCAGCAAAAGGTGAGTGATCTGGGTCAAAGTTCAAGATCAAAGTCACAAAACTGGGCTGCAAAACAATGAAGCTCATTAGAAAGGAGTATTTAAAGAAAACATCACCGAGGTGTCTCTGTATGAGGTGCAGTGGCTCTGCAGGAAATGCCATTCATTGACTTACTGCATGCAGATGTAACACGACTGAAGTAAATCCTCAGAGGTATTTCTTGGCAGATGCCGCACTGCTACACCTTACAACTCTTTAGTTCGCACTCGTGTTTGAATAACAACTGAGTTTTTTCTTTTCTTTTCAGTAACTGTTATCTGTCATCTTTGGCAATAATAAATATTCCGCATGGTAGATGGAGGACTTACCAAAACATTATTACCTCTGACTCTCGGCCATGTTCACGCTGCATCGTATGCATTATACATGTGTAGGTGTGGGCACATGAAAATATTTTAGGCTTTATGCTCCACCAAGCTATGTCATGGAGTAATCTGTCAAAGTATGTTTTCAGACAATGTAAAATGTTTTGGGTAATTTATTTCTTATTCATATTTTGTTACTTTAGTGAAGTGTTTCATTTATATGTCATTTATATCTGGAAATGTGAGATTCCATATTAATGTTTCTTGAATTGGCTTCTTCTTTCAAAACAGAACATGTTGCCATGACAGCTTCTGCTTTTAGTTTAAAGGCATTTACAGAAAGCAATATTTTTTTTTTCAGAAAACAAATTTCTCTTTTTCATTGTTCTAACTGCTTCTATACTAATCATATATTTTATAATGAGTCTAAAGAAATTAGTTTAACTTAATATCGACCGCTGCATAGAATTACGTGCCTTTTTTATACAGCATGTCTACATTTCCAGTTTGAGCTGTGTAATGGTTTCAGACAGTCTGAGGAGAAAACAGTGAAGACAATCCGCTTTTAGAAGTGACCAAGATGTTCATAAATTCAGGAAGCAAACGCTGACATATGCACAGCCTTTTTTTTTCCCCTCAGAGGAAACTGAAACCATTAATTAGATGCACTCATTACTCCAGTCCCACTCTGCACAAAACACTGTTAGTGTATGTCTATATGCATGCAGGATAACACCTCCCTCCGTCTGTTAACTCTCGGCTTGCAAACAGCTCCTTCAAAATGCATTTGTGTCTGGCTCACAGGCAATTTGACTTCAGTCTCCTCAGGCCTAATTTGCTCTGCAGGCGCCCAAAAATTTGTGTAGCTCCAGCTTGGGTTCGTGACAGTTGTCTTAGTTTCTGTTCTGGCGATGTCAGGTAGGGAGTAAATAAATTCAATAGAAGGGATTCATGCTGTGTCTTCAGTGTGTTGATTGCCTGAACAACAGTCCTCGTCTTACAATAAACATATTTTCAAAAAGTGGAACTGCAGGTATTTAAATATATCAAAGGTGGACAAAGGGAAACATTTCAATTTATGAAAATAACTTCTTTATTTAAAAAAAAAAAAAAAATCACTGCAGAGATGCTTTCAAGGATTTTTTTTCACACTTTCCCTTTTTCGTCACACTGAGATTTAATGTTGAAATGATTAAAAATGAATAGAAAAGAACTAAAAACCCAAATCTTTCACTTCTCCTAAATCCAATTATCTTTTGGCTCTTAAAGAAGTAAAAGTAATTAGAACTCGGATTTATTGGTGTTAAGTTGGATTGGAAATATATATCTCCAAACTCCAATTTATTATTCCGCCACCACTCAGCGCCATTTGCATCCATAAAACTCAGCAGTTCGAGCTTTACCCCACGCACATGTGGAGCATAGTAATTAAGCCTGATTCATAGAGTGACGGTATCGGTGATTAGCAAATCACATCACCATTATGTTACAATGGATAAAATATAGCTGATGAGACATTACATTATGTGGTAAATTATGTTAAGGGGTTTTATATTCTGTACAATTCTGATGAGATTAGACATATATGGGAGGACTGGTTGAAATATATGAAAGCATGGTGAAAACAGAAATTTTCTACAAATGCTTGAGTTTTGCCAATACTATGGCTGCACATTACATAAATTATAAAAAATTACAGCTCATTGGACAATGAAGAAAATAATTACCTTTTCCCCCTTTGTACAGCACAGAGGTGTAATAACACAGCATGGCTGCATTACCTCATTTTACGTCTGCATCAATACAAAAGCAGACAGGAAAGAAAGCTTTCATGCCTCCACCAAATATAAGCCCTTCTCATATGACTGGCACTGCTTTTTCAGCGGAGAAGCATGTGGTGACATTTCAGAGCTCAGCTGCGAAAACCAGGAGGGATTGTCACGTCCCTCACTGATTTGTAGTCGCAGAGAAAAGGAATCAAACTTTTACTGAATTAAACTACCGTTGGGGGATATTTTTAAACTTGCCGTAGCAAGCACAATATGTCCCCTCGACGCTGTCAACTTGACGCCTGGTAATTTAAGGGCAGATCGGGAGGTTTGCAAATGAGGGAGAGGTGTTAGACAAAAAAAAAAAGGTAAATTCTGATGTAGCAAAAAGAAAAAAAAGAATAATAATACACACACACACACATTTAAAACTGAGCAGAATTTGAATTCTAATAACTTTGACAATAAGTATGTAACTGTGTGGCTTGATATTACAATTATAAAAACTCAAATGAACTGAAATGTGTCTCTGTCTATTTTTGTCTTGCCAGGATACTCCATTCTTCAATCTTCACATGAATCTTTCAAAACCAGTGATCCTTATCATTTCATCCTCAAAAACGGCTTACGCTAACTGCGACCCCTGCGAAGGCGTGAAAGTTTATGTGAGTAGCACCGCTGAGTTGTTCTATATGTACGTCAATACACATATATATATATATGTATGTATACATATATATATATATATATATATACATAGTTTGTATGCTGAAATATTACATGCTGAAGTACTTCAGCATGTAATATCTGTTGATTTACTTGTGTTTCTCAAAAATCTATTTTAACCAAAGCTTTTTACAACCACACACTTTATTCTATTTGTGTTTTATGTCAAAAAGCAGCACACATCAGTATGTATTCGAAGGATACTGGTGCTTTGAACTGTAGATTATGTGGATCTTTTTTAACAAATATGCTGTTGTTGAAGCACTAATACGGCATTAAATGTCCTTTATTTCATTACTGTGAGAGTTTTTTTCCTGTGTCAAAGTCTAGTGCCGGCTGCTTTACATACAGTAAAAATGACACAGCTGTGCAGTACTCTGAGTCTTTTGGAAGGCTGAGACCACTTTGATTTTCTCCGGATATTCCCCAATGGCTTGCTCTGTGAGAAGCAGTTTTTGTTTTAGTGCTTTTATTATCCACACTATAAAACCAACAAGTAGCCAGTAACTAGTGGGGATGATGGCATTGACTGTAAAATTAATGTACCAGTAAATGGTAGTTTCAGACTTTTATACACTGATCATGTATTAAAAAAGTGCATTAATTGAACTGCCAAAATAATCAGATGTAGGTGTAAAAAGTAAAAAAAAAACAAAACAAAAAAAAAAAACACTGAAAAACAAGCACAGCGTTTTACTGGTTAATTCTAGTCTGATAATGACGGGGATATTTAAACATTTACAGTCATGATGGAAAATTAGCATACCACTGTTTTCTTGTTTTTCTTACATCAACATATACATTTAAGCTATATACATTTATTACTATCATACATGCAAGTAGTGAGAGTGGGAGGGAAAACACCTTTTTAACAGAAAGCCTGAAGACTCCTCAAGAATCAGTAGACATATCTTATGATCTCTTCAGTCTTTTAAAAACTAACATTAAGCCACATTTGCTTTCAGAATGGTCTACTTTAATTTGAAGTCTCAGCAGTGTGTCCTCATTCGCTCTTTGCGTGTTTACAGAAGCTCTTGCAGTCTTGGAAATATTTCCTACTATGATGAACATTGTGCAGACATACTGAAGAAATCACATGTGTAAATTAAGTGGAATAACAGCTGTCCAATCAATGTGATGACACACTTGCAGGCGTGTCAACAATTACTGATATGCTGACAGCAGCATGGTACCACATCCTGTATCGTGTCCTGTCAGGAGCCTGGACAACATTCCCTGTGACGGCAGGATGTTGTTGTGAGATGAGCTCTATCACTGGGGGATAATAGCGCTTTGCAGCAGATTGCATTGTAAGAGAATAAACATCTGTTCAGCATCCGAGAAAGTACGTCAACAGCTTGACAGCATGTCTCAGTGTCACAGCTCCTCTCGGCCTCCCGAGGCTGCCGCTAACACTCAAGGTTGTTTAAAAAGCCAGTAGGATAGTGACTTTTTTTAAAGTCTTGGGAGCAGTCGTGTTTTCTGTTAGTAAAAGTTCAGTGATTGTCAAAGTGAGTTATTCTCATTTCATTCTTTATGGGAAATATGACTGGACTCTTGCACTTGTGTGTTATAAGTAAATCAGCCTGTCGCGTGGAACCAAACATGTACAAGACATTACTCCTAACTAATATGAAATAATTAAAAGGTCAGTTGTTTCAGCCATTCCCATTAGACACCGGTCCTGTTTTTGGCTATTGCTTTCAAAATCTCTGGTTTGTTGAAAATTGTTGACACTAATCTGATTAAATTTCCATGACATTAGGCTTTTTACCTTTTTCTTCATGTCTTCGTTTTGACGACTCCTCCATCTGCTTGTTTCTGTTGTGAATTCCCCTCCTGCTTTTTGATGTTTTCAGTCTCTTTCCACACTATTTTTGATCTTATCAATCAAATATTTATTTAGAAAGAGATTGAACTCCCTGTGGCATACTCTGAATTTGGGATGGAAAGGCATGCACACAAACTCACAGGCCAGGATAAAGGTTTCTAGAAATTTAGAAAATAGACAAGTCATTGTAACTTGAAGGATAATTCAGTGACATTATGGGTGTTTCATTAAACATCTTTAATTCTTAATTTGAGATGGAAACATTTTTAGCTTTTTGAATCCCTTCCCCAAGCATCTGCGGAATAACAGACTGAGGAGGACGTAGTTGTTGAGGTAGGATCTAATATGCATTATGCATTTCAAACCCTTGAACAAAAGAGAAGCAACTCAGAATTTTATTATTTAGTTGAAAGAGATTTTTTAATGCACTGAGACACTTGTAACACGAGGAAAGCATTGCTGCTCTCAGCATTCTGGGAGCATAAGTCCAATTTAGACACTACCCTCACTACATTTCTGCTGCTCTTCACTTATCCAAGAAACCGAACATGCAAACTTCTTTACTTCCCATTCATCCAGACAAGGAAACAGCAGTGTCTAGTCAATGAGATGGATGTATATATTTATACCTTGTATGGAGCCAGATTCCAGCCGACTGTGGTGACGCACAAAGCTAAAAAAGGTCCCATTTCCTGGCCCCACTCAGGAAGCAAAGGAAAGACCTTGGCTCCAAAGAGGTTGTGCAACTCGGCTCGTGGACACTTAACCATAATAAACATTTCTTTTTCATAGGCCTGCTCAGTGAATAGAGGGAGAGTTTGGTGAAGGATAAGAAAAAAGAAGTGGAAGAGAATGACAAGGGAACATGATGAGAAGATAGGCATTGATCCACTCCTGTGTTTTTGCAGTTAATGAAATGCTGTATTTGTTTTGTATTTTACAGGTGAATAATTCCACAATTACACTGTTGAATCCACATCAGAACAATATCCACAAAGAAGAAATCCCCCATCAAAACGAGGAGTTGATCAAGTGGGCAAAGCAAAAATTTGAGGGTGTGACTTCATTCACTACCGTTAAAAATCCCACACTAATTACACTAACAGAAGCACAAGGTAAGAAAAATGTTCTTTAACTTTACTTGGGTTAACAAAGAGGTTTTCTTGCCAGTGTAGAGACTTGTCAAGAAATTTGTCCAGTGCATACATATGAATCGTATTACAATAGGGCATATAAAAACCCCACAGCGCAGCATTGAAAACCAAATAAAGAAATGCTGCTGACAATTCACTAGCTAAAGATCCAGACTGGCACCAAAATTCGGGCATGTCACTCTGCAGGTAAAAAGGTAGAGTGGTCAGCATCTCGAGGGAAAATCACCGAACTGATTCTTAACCACCTCAGCAATGTTTGCTAAAGGAACCTCAGGTTTGTCTCATTCATGGACGACATGAATACTTGATTAAGGAGACTTTCAAAATTCTATCCAGTGTGTTTGTCAGCAACAGTCCAATCAGCAATTGCAATTTTTTTAAAAGTGAAACGGTGCTTAAAGGGAAGAACTGAATCGTTTTACCCCCGACAAACTGTCAGAGTTTATTATTACAAATGGCCTGTCGTCACAGAGATACCGTGGAAAATAACTGATAAAAAATGTTTTAAATGTTATCAAGGGGGAACATGCTGTCATTATGCCCTATGTAACTAGAGCATTTAGAGGGAGAAAAATAAGTTAGTTCATTTCCAAAACCCAAACGGAGTTTGGAAAAATGTAATAGACAGATATGTCCGTGGCTGACCTGAATACAACAGGGATCAATGGTGTAACTACCACATGTACACGTGTATAAAGATAACTGCAAGTAAATCTCCCATTTTTGTCATAATTATTTTATGTGTTTAATGGTTAAATCAAAGACTAGTGCATCAAGCTAGGTCCAAAACCTGGCCAAAATCAATGTGTGTTGGCTACAGATCTATTTTTATTACCGTACAGTTGCTTTGTAAAGCAGTAATTTTTCAGACATGCAGCACAAATATTCATATATAGCCTAACATACATAAAAACATTTATGTAGCTGTTGTTAAGTAACAGACAACACAGACTATACAGATTACACTTTAATACTATGCCATTTTACAGTAAAAAAGAATATTAGCCAGTAGAGCAGAACAAGAAACATCACATAGTCAAAGGGATGTTGAAGATTGAAAAGAATGTTAAGAATGTCAATGTTAAAAATAATATTTTTCTTTTCTTGTCCACGTTGTGAAGTGTCTAATCAAATTTAGCAACTTTGTCTGAAACCTTTTTCTTGAACTACACTCTTATTTTGACCTGCTACTTTGACTACTTTAACCTCTGTAACACTATTAAATAGATTTAGTGAACTGTTTTGTGGTAACTTTCAACTTTCTCATTATTGTGCATTACTTTGCACAGTGCCTATGTTTTAAACATAATTTTCCATTAAAATGCTCTTATATTCAATGATCAATGATGAGCTGTGATTTGTTTTTTTTCTAGGAACTAAACCTACAAACATACCGACAGCTTCTCCTATGGATTGTGTACTTAACAATGAAGACATCTCAGAAAAGCACTTTATGAAGATTGACATGCTTCCAGATAAGATCTCGTCTTGTACACTGAAATCACAAAACCCCGACCATGATGAGATACATATCATAAACATTCCAGATACTTCTCCTGTTCGGTAAACTTTATAATTTTAAGAAACAGAATTTTATGTTCCTCAGTTTTTACCAAATTTTTTTTTTCATAATCCTTTTGTTTTTTTATCCACATGGCAGCAATGTATCCTTGCTCGTTAAAAGTCAGGGCATTTCTTTCTTCCTGAGAGGTCCTCAGGGCACCACATGGACCTTCCTCAAAATGGGCTTTTTGAAGCTTGGTGTAAGTTTCTATTTTATGTGTATTCCTTTAGAAAATGTCAGTATAATGGAATTTATTCTAAAACAAATTTCTGTCTGACTCAAAACAATCAAGTTGATTGTATTAGTGAACAATTTCTAGGCTTTCTGAAGTTCCTTTTATTATTCTGCAATTGTCAAGTACTTGTTGTAAGATATTACTAAGAATTGATTTTTATTATTGTCTTCTTTTCCTATAGTCTAACAACGACGTCCAGATACAAGCTTTCCCAAAAACACTTACACTACCTAAATATAATGGTACAGTGAGAGGTGACAAAGCAGATGTCGTACAGAAAATGGCTTTGGAATATTTTAAAGTCAATTATTTCACCAGCTACAGTGAAATAACACTGGATGCATCAACCATTTCTCTAGTGATTGAAAAACAACACAATTTACCAGGTATGACATTTAGTTTTCTTTCTTATCAGAGAAAAATAAGCTGTAAAGTAAAACAGAAAGTAGATGCACAAAGCTGGGAAGCTAGTGTTGCACTATTGATACAAATTTTAAATGTTGCTTTTACTTTATTTTTAGAGATATTTCCATCAGTCAGAGAAGAAATGGTAAAAAGTATGATTCCCAAAACAACTGATGCCCCAAATCAGATGCTTCTGAACATCCAACTGTACACCTCCCCAGATTATCGCTTTCCCTTAGACCCTCTAACCAGATTGCAGACTAACAAGAGAATCTACGCACTGGTAAGGATTCTTGTTTACAGTTTTTTCTGACTACTCAAATCACATTATTTTACAAGGCGCATTTTGGTTCTTTTAAATATTTTATGTTTCAGATCATTGAACAAAATATTAGTATCAAACAAAAAAAAAATGCAGTTTTCAAATATTGATGCACAATGTAAAAAAACCATTGCACCCATAATCAAATAATTCATTAACGGTAAATAAACTCATATTTTTAGTTTAACTTTGTTTCTTCTCCAAGCTGGATTATTGTTAGACTTGCATAATCAAGAAATAACAAATGAGATACAGTCATTAACGTATATTAACGTCTATCAAGTGGAAATACTTTCAATGCCTTTTCCCAGGGCATTACTGGGACATTTACTAGGACTTTAAAATATATAGTCTAATGTTTCTCACAAAACAGAATCAATAACTAAACTTTCAGCAATAGTGTATAGAGAACACTCTGTACACTATTGTTGTGTCACTACATTGTATAAGTGAAACAAAGCTTCGCTCTGGGTAGACGGGGTCACTCCATCTGCTTTATTTGCCAGACTTATTTTAGTTTCACCTGGGTTTAGTTTGCGCCTGCGAGCAGCCACATCGTCATTCTTGTGGACTATTTTTGTAGAACCATGTGACGTTATGATTAATTTACGTCTACTTTACTCTTCCTCAGCCAATCAGTAGCACATTCCTCTTCCTCTTAGCTCCTGCTCTCGTGCTTTCACCTTCTTTGTGCTGAATTAAAGTAATCTGCCACATTTTTACGTACAGGAAAGATCTTTGTAACGATGGCAAAAGTAATTTTCTAGCTTACTCATTATTAAAAAAAGTACTATCATTAATAATGGCATTTGTTTTAATGCCATTCTTCCCATCACTGCAAATGGAAAACATGAAACGGAAGTAAATATAATGAGTAGAGTAAGGATACCAAAGTTACTTTAAGAGTACTTGGACAACTCATCCTGGAGATTACAAAACAAAATTTGTAAAGTGCTGTTGATTGCTAAAAGCAACTATTGCTTACATTTCATTAAAAGTTGTGTTGCTTCCCTGCAATTTATTTACCATCTTCTTTGTCGCTTATAGATATCTACAAACACAATAGGTGACATAAAAATGGCCCTCAAGGTGATTGGCTGCAGCATAAGGCCAAAGGCCTCATCCTCTGCAGAGAAAGAGCTCCCGATCTTCTTAGAGTCCTGCACTGCAGAGCCCTGTCACAACAGCGCTCGGCTCAGCTTCTCCTTAGATCAGATGCCAGAGGGGACATCCAGCTCATGGGTTCTACAATGCTCTGTCAAGCTATGTTTCTCTGACCCGTCGTATCAGGGTGAGGTAGGTATTTCACAATGGCTTTTTGACAAAACACCATATATTTTCAGGTGTTTTAAATGAAAGCAGAGCCACAAAACATTCTGCATATTAGACATGAATATCTCAATTTCAGCTCAGAGGTATTTACATCTAAAGTGTTATGAATAAAAAATTTTTAGGGTCTGAGAAATTATTGAAAATATTACCATAATCATAAATTATTATTTTTTCATACTTTGAGGGAAATATTTCACAAGCTTTGCCTGAAGCGAGATACCTGTGGAAATCCCTGGTGGATTCTCCTTTTATTTGCTTTGCCCTTATTTTTTGTTCACACCTTCAGGATTCTGCTTTGTCTTTGTGGGTCTCTTTGGTTTTCAACTTTGCAAGTGAAAAGCAGCGTTAAAGCAATGGCATTGTATTATTGATGTGCTCAATGCAAAATGTTGCACTTTGCTGTTATATTATTATCCCTAGTTTGTGTATTGTGATTGTCCAAGTAATTTAAAATACTGAAAAAGTTTTTCAGCTCTTTACCTGAGAAAGGGAATTTATTTATTTTTTATTTTATTTTTTTATATTACCCACAGATCTGTGAGCATAACGTGAGGACAGCAGAGGAGAACCTGGAGGTTATGCAGTCATGCCAACCACAGGGTGAGAAAAGTTATTTATTATTATTACTACTACTACTACTACTAATAATAATACTAATAATAATAATCATAATTTTAAATTACCTTGATTTTTATAAAATGATCTAAAAAATGTTTCTTAGTTGTTTGTTTCATAGTAACAAAATTGTCAAACTCCTACACAAATAATGATAACATTTAATTTAGCTTCCATGCCCCTTGGACTAAACTGCTAGTCAGTCAGTCAGTTAGTAACTGAGTGATACTATGTGCTGAAGATCTATAATTGCTTATGGCGTACACACAATGCTGCCTGGGTGATTGTCATAGCAGCAAACACAGGATATTCAATGGAGCCCATGAGCGGCTGTAGGGCAGGGCCTCGTCCTTTAGGAAGGTCTGCAGGCTGACCTTGTGGCCACCGTCACACGTAACAGCCTTCTGGGGAAAGAGTGGCAGGCGGGGGGGGGGGTAAAATCCTTTGTGCTTCCAAAAAGTTAGACTATTCTGATGTCCAGACAGATTGGTGAGCTTTGAGCCATGAACATTTTTGTCTCAAAGAAGGATGAGTTTCTCTCAAACTGAGAGAAGCAAAATCTGTGACTAGAAAATGAATGCCATGCTATTTAACTTCAATTTTGTAGCAGTTCATTAAAATAGAACTCTCTATTTTATCAGCAATACAATTCATTGCAAATAACATTCCAGATGCTGTGTTTTTTTTTTCTAATTCTTCTGTTTTTTTATAATTCATAAAGTTTTCCTTGCAAAAGCAAATCTGCAAATCAGTTTTCTAAATTAATTTGTTGGTTCACTTCTTCCTTTAGTCATTAGCTCTCTTCACACATTTTATGCTCCTTGTTAAATAAAAACAAAAAAAAGATATTCTAACAGAAGCTCTCAGAATTGTATGAGCATGTACTTTCACACAGGCCCATATTTCAGAATGAACTTAGTAACAACACTGTCTTTTAAATGCAAATTACATGTGCCACCATTCTCTTCACACTTATCTGAGTCAGGCTGCAGAATTCAGATGAAATCAATTAATTTGGTTATTACATGTCACTGAAGGTGTCCAAATTGTGAAGAAACACAAAACATTTTTTTTTCAAACTTTGCAAGTCTGACAAACCTTTTCATGGAGTTAAGTTTATTATGACAGAGATATAATAATGACTCTAAATAAGCATAACTAACAGGCGTCATTATTTTCCAAGTCTTTATCAAGCGGCAGTGACTGCTCCATTCAGTAATCCTTCCTGTTTGCTAGTTTTCATACCAGGGGCATGGAGTCATGGCGCAGGCTTGATGTCCCTCCGTACCTCCCCACCTGCACTGCAGCTTCTGCTTCCTGCAACTGTTTATTCAGCTTTGCTGTCAAAGACTCACTTATACAAACTAACACGGCCAGTGATTGGAGAAAACAAGTCTCTGAGGAAGGCCGTCTCAAGATGCTGTGATGTTTCTTCCCAATTCAGAGACAAGGAATGTTCCTTTGTAATTTAAAATCAACAAACGAGGTTGGAATGCAGTCACTATTTCAGGACACCAGATGTCACTGTTTCAGTGCCCTGAGGGTAATTTAAGGATGGCTATTAGTGTTTTTGTTTGAATAGAAGCAGCTTTATGCTTTGCGATTAATATACAAATGTTAAATCAACAACACAGTGTATATATTAGATTCCTCAGAGTGCTTTTATTTTTTTACCTTAAGGTTTTCTGCTAATAGAAATAAGTGATTCCATCACTCCATCATACTTTTCTCAGTACTTCAGTTTAAATTCAACTATTGTTTGTTTTTAACAAAAAAAAACTTTTTCTGTCCCATGTGTACCCCTTTAAGTTAATTAAACAACAGATGAGTTGAGTTATGAATCCTATTACAAAACTTAGCTTGTTTCAGGAAGAAGCAGGAAGCTGCAGAAGCAGGTGAGAGAAACTATTGTGCAGGTGATGATGAGTTTCTTAGAAACCTTTACAAGTAGCAAGCCAAGTAGAGAGAAAAAAAGGATCTGGTTGCACACTGTCTCTATTGTTGTACAATTCAGTACAAGCATTGTGTCTGCTTTAGTGGAGATTTCTGACAGCTTACATGGTGCTATTGCAAATTTGAATTTTAAAATCGATTCCTCTCAGTCAGACACGCAAACATGTGAAACACTAAACCTCTTTCAGTGTTAAAATTGATGAAAAGAACTAGACAGTAACACAAAAGGTTTCAGGAACATCCAAGATCTGTTTTTTTTTAATACACGAAAATGAAAGCCCTGAATTCATTATTCATTTGTAGAGGTGATAGGGTTGAACAATATTTGATAGAAGGGCAAAATTGATGTTATTCTCAAGAAAATATAGTCAGGGTTTTATCATAATAAAACAACTACAAAGTGAGAATGGCTTTTTAGTGAAAGCTTATTTTCAGAGGGCTGAGCAATTTGCAGTGACTATATGCTATGCTTTCCTAGTTTTTCACAATGTACAGCTGGTACCTAAAAAAATAACTACTTTGCAAAGACATCGCTTTATAGATTTTAATATATATATATGCTTTCCATTTTGGAGGAGAGCCTTTGCCTTTATACCACGAATCAATCTATTTAGAAGTGGTATTGGAGTATACCTATTTCTAATAATGAGCTGAGCTTAAATGGAACAAAGACAAACTCTATCTATATTTTCTAATATGCTGCTACTAACTTCTAATTATAACCTCATTGAAATACAATTATTTTTTAAAATCCATTTTAAAATTTGAACTGCAATGGCCACCATTGCTTCATATGTGCAATAAAATTTAGGTGGACAATGACATAAAAATGCCAACTGAGCTATATTTAAGTATGTCAAATATACTGACCAGCAAAATTGGTAATGACTGCTGGCCAGTTGTTTCCAAATGTAAAAAGATACAAAAACCTGCAGCCAAACCAGGTGGATTTGGTTGTAATTTCAAACAAAAAGGGAAGAGCTGAAAGATGCAGCATTACACTCTGAGTGATCTGTTTCATACCTGTCACATTGCATAGCTTAACATTTAGTACAACTCAATTTGATCACATTCAATTGCTGTTCTTTAATTAAAGGTTCATTACGCTGTTTTTTTTTTGTTGTTTTTTTTCTTTGTGGACTTTCAGATCAGCCATGCTTTGATTTTGGCCTGTCAGGTGTTCTTGGAATTGCTTTTGGAGGGTTCCTGATTGGAGTGTTACTTATTGGAGCTTTGTGGTTTATCAAGATTAAAACAGGTAAATGCATGTTCTGTTTTATATCCTATGCGAATTATAAAGTGTGGAAAAAAAATTACATAAACTTGGGTCACTTTTATTCAACATATTAGCACTAGCTCAGATAATTATGTTTGCCACATTTAATACCTACATTTTAACCTCCACAAATCGTCTAATACTGTATCATTTTGCCACCAGTTAAAAGGAAATGGATTACCCAAATAGTTTCCATTCAAAACAGGGTAAAGAAAACATGTGCATGCTTTTATTTGCAGTATTTTTGATTATTGTAATAATCTTTGCCATTATCTGGAAAGAAAAGCATCAACTCGCTGCTGCTTTAAAATGCTCTTGTCCAGTATAATGCCACAAAAATAGGTAATTTTTACACAAAATCTTACATTAATTTATTAAGTTCCTGCATGCAAAATATTTGATTTTTAAATGTAAGAGATGAAATGGTCTTAGGACTAAATGTGTTTCAGGGTCACTTGAAACCCTGAAACACCTAACCTAGTTCAGTTAGGTTTTAACTATGCAGATCACCCAGCTATCATAGACCTGTGTTTTACTACATGTTCCCTGAAAAGAACTAAACAAGTGAGACATCATTTAGTTTCTGTGTTCCTCATCTCAGGAGAAAACCCACTGAAAACCTCTGATGTACAAAAACCATTGGCTTTTTAAAGTCTGGCTTGCATATTTGCTATAAATAATAAATATTAATTGCTTGTATCATCCCATAGGTATTTACTTGTTGTAATATTTGTAAAATGTTTATCCTTTGCCATTAGGGTAGATGTTCACTGCTGTTCTCCATATTTCTTCTCTTTGAATATTGTGTTTCAACTTGTCAAATGACCCAACCAAATATGTTTAGACATAATGCGGTCTCATTGAATTAAACTCAGGGTACCCAGTTGGACTTGACATGAGGTCAACTGCTGCCAGTTTTTCTGGTAAGAAGTATAACTGTTCTTTGTGATTTTCTTCATTTTTATTAGGTTCTAATCAGCATCTGCCTTTTTTTTTAAGGATGTCCCTGTTCAAGAGCAAAGCGACAACCTGTGTCTTCCAACCCGTCACCCTCCGAGAATAGCAGCGCGAATGCGAGCATCGGAAGTACTCAAAGCACACCGACCAGCAGCATGGCATAAGAGCATTATAGGGCTATACTAGCAGGCCACCATCCCTTCTGTGTCATCTTGATGGGTTTCAAGATGACACTTGTTGCATCAGTCCTTAAAAAAGCATTTCTTTATACCCTGCTCTGTTTAAATTGTTGTTTAAAAAGCACAACTGATGATATTTGACATACCATGTCTAAAATGGGTTTGATCTGGGAGTCTGTAGCTAGATGTGGAGAAAGCATGAATGTTTTGATATTAGTTTTTAATGCTTTCCTTTGTAGCCTCTCTGTAAATTCAAATTCCTCAGCCAGGGTGTTGCAGAGGCCAAAAGGGGGGGGAAGAAAAAAAATTGGCTCCCAGCAACAGGAAAAACAAACCATATCCCCCTAAGAGCTAACAGGAAATTCACGACATTCTTTCCAATGAATTGTGCGTGTGTGATGGGAGCACAATAATAGTTATCCAGGAGACAAACTGGTCCAAAGACAAGCTTTGAAAAACAGATGGAAAGATGTTTTGTGAACATTTAAGAAACAAAAATATGACGGGTTGCATGCTAGGTCAGTCCAGATAAATTAATCAACAACATCAAGGGATCTGACATTCTGTATATTGGCATTTCCAAATAGGAATACTTCCTTGTATGACTAAATTGCAGTCCATGGACCATGGTTTTATTGCTACCTCTTATTGAGTAGAAATCTGGAGCTAAGGTAAAACTTAAAACTAGGTTTCTGTAGTGAAGTTTTTTTTTTTTTTTCTTACTGTCATTTCTTGTTACCATATTAAAACCCTAAAGTGGCCCTATGGGCCATTTTTAGCTCACAAAATAAACTTATGATGCCATTGTCTTGTTATCCAGTGGATAAATAAGTGTCATCATACTGTTTTTCCATAGCACTCATTTAAGATTAGATTTGAACTACATTTAGTAAAAAATTAGCAAAACTAAATGATGAAAGAAGACATTTAATGTAGACTAACATGGATTGTTTTTTTTACTTTCATGAGCTGAGAATGCATCACTATTTTATTGCTGAGTACCATTTTTCAATTTGTATTCCTGTATTCAGAGCTGAGTAGTGTTTGTAGAGATTCACCAAGTTACTACATTTCGATTTCTAAGCATCACACTGTTGCATCTTACTATTTAACACTCATCCAGCTCTTTCTTCTAGGTGGAGTCCCACCCCTCCAAATCGTGTTGAGGTTAAATTTCAGTCGTTTTAATTTGCACAATACCCTTTGTCACCAGTAACACCAGTTATTCACCAGTACTTACCAACCTTTTGTGCATGTTTTAGGTCTGTGGAACAGACCTTTGTCTCATGAATTCAATTCTTGCATTATGATTTTCATTTCACTGTTAACCTTGTAGATTTCCTTTTGTTGTACACATTTAAAAATCAAGATTTTATTATTATTATACCCTTTTTCCTTAGCATTATTGAGTTAAAAGATTTTTGTTGGACTTAACAGGACATTTATGAAAACTGAAACAACCTTGATGACGGTTATACTTTTACCTGCTATTCATTTAGACTTATTTTGCCTCTCTATCAAAAGGCTGTTCAACCCTTTGAAAGACTCAGTATTCACACTTACTTGTTGTAATAGTTATTGTACTTTGATACATAAGAGCAGAATGATATTGTATGTTACAAAAACTAATATTCACACATTCATGGTGAATGGGTGAATGTCTGAATGTAATTTGAAGAGCTTTAGGGTCCTCTGGACTTTATAAAGTGCTATGCAAGACATTTACAATTAATTTATAATCACAAAAATGTGCTTCTCTAAATTTGATTGAGACATAAATATATATATATACATATATATATTTCATCTAAATGGTTGAATGTATCTTTTAATCTCTTATTTAAGTCAGCTCTGAATACAGACCATTCAGACTCTATAGCATAATTAATAGCATTTCTACATCCCTCTGTAAGTTGACATTGACATATTTTGTTAGTTCTTGTAACTGCTCTAAAGGCATTTGAACATGTAAAAAAAAAACACAAAAAACAAAACAAAACATATTTTCACCCGTTTCTAATCTAAATAGGTATATTTTCAATATTAGTTTGTGATCAAAATGAACAGCTCATGTCCAAACTGTATTATATTGGCTCTATATAAATATCCTGTTTTATTTATTCTTGTTCTGCTTCATTCTCAGAACCTGTTCCAAACCAGTTTTGGGATATGTGTAGCATATTTCTCTCCTTTATACACATGTGCATTTGTTTTGAGACAGAAACAAAGAGGGCCAGTACAAATTGCCACTTGAGAATTTGTGCAATATGGTGAGAGGTTAACTTGCATGTAATGTCCATATGTAATTTTTTTGTTTTTGTATGTGTTATTTGATAGTCTTTCTTTGAATCATTCCATAAACTAGTGCCCAAACAGGGCACAAGACGCATCTCCTTGTATTTCAAAACATTTGACTTTATTCCACTCATTTGAGACAATGCGTGTCACATCACGTACTGGTCACACTGCAGTTTCATCCTGCTTGACCTTTGTCCTCTCAGTCCTCTGTGAACCAAACACATAACAAATCTGTGGAGTGACATGTCAACATTGTATTGTGTTCATGCTACTATCCTCAGACCGTCAGTTCTGGAGACAGAACGTCTCACCATTTAATACATTCCAGATGACTATTCAGCACACTGTTATCAATGTACGGTTCCTCCCTTATTTGCGATATTGACACACATTTTGATATGATAGGATAGGGAATGTGCAAACTGCCCGGGGTTAAAGCAACCCTTATATCCGTCACAACAGTAAAATTAGACAGGATGTCAGTTCATCCACTTGTTAAATCTGCAGTGTTATCTTTGTGCTCATGTGGGCTTTTGCTGTTTTAAGTGGTTTGATTTGTTGAGAATGAACTTTGGTAATTCATTTTTTTATGTTGTTGTTCTTCCCAGAGACTCTGTTTCTAAAATCATCCTAATAAAGTAAATTTAAGAGACATTTCTGGGTTTTTTATTCACCCTTAATATAGTGTGTGACCATGAGCACTCTGCATGCACGTGTGAATCAGCAAGACCATATTGGAGATTGATACAGCAGCAAAGTCAAATACACAATAGAGCAAGCTCTAAAACATTCCTACCATCAATGGAAACACAGGAACATTAAACGATACAACATCTCCGAGCTATAATTTCACAAGAGGTTCAAGAAATATTATTCAATAATCACTATAAGAGCCGATGTATTTATTTCCTTGTGTCTGATACAACTGCAGTGGGATTTACAAAGGCCTGTTCTGACAGTGAGGTTCCTACGTAGAGAGTTCAGTCTACATAGGACTGAAACTGCTAATATAAAAGTCATATATTAGCATCAACTTATGTCTTTTAATTAAGAACTACTGTGCAGGGCAATTCTCTTAGATTTCAAAAATGAAGCATTGGCATTGTTAGAGGGAGCCTAATAAAAACCAACCCTCGTGTTACGCTTTACTTTTTTACTTTGTACAGGAAGTCCGGGACTTCAGCTATTGATAAATGCTTGCTTCCTGTTGTCATGGACAGTGAGTTTGTGGATAGACCAAATGCATACAGAAACTGGGAGTATGGATCATGTTGAATTTTCTTTAATAATAAAACAGAAAACTTACAAAACCAGGAACACTGAAACAAGTCAGGATAAAACAATAATGGGGAACTAGGAGACCAGGATGAAACAAATAAGTAATGGGAATAAAAAGAAGAAATCAGCAAGGAATGACTGAGCGTGAGTAATACATACACTGAGGAGCTTGATCAGGGAACAAGGAAGAGATGCCTGATTAGGAACAGCTTACTGGCGTGTTGGGGGGAGAGAAAGAGAGATAAAGAATGGCACAGGTGGCGAGGGACAATATACACAACATTGGAACTAATTTAGAGAAAAGAAATGGTTCTCAAAATGTCCAGGCTCCCGACTCAATGAATTCTGTGGTGCGAATTTACAATCTGTTTATGTAATTATTGCACATGGACAAAGTAGTTTGTTTATGGTTAAACAATACTTTAAATTTGAATGAGGGAGCCAGCCATTTTATTTTACAAGAAAATGATGTTATTTAAATGTAAGTTTTGGTTTACCACAAATTAAATACACAAAGTGCGGTGGGTGGAGTGTAAGACTAAAATACAGTGATGTCTTTCATAAAGCTAGACCTTATAATTAGAAACTTTACAAAAAAGAAGCTAATTATTACATCGGTATTTGTTTGGAATAGAGCAATGACACCCATCGAAGAAATGTTTGTAGAAGGTCTCATTCTCCAAAATAGGACCACGGAGCCACTCAGCCGAGAGAAGCAGACGTTGTTTGTATTTGTGCCTGGGTGTATGCTGAACGGTTTGCATCTCAGTGCAGAAATCTGTTCTTGTCTGGAAAAAGTATGCTTTGTGAAGAGTGTTATTTGGGCTATGCGTACAGGATCCAACAATAGCCTAGGGGCAAAACCAGCCATCACAGCTCTTTTCTTGTAAAATCAAGGTGTGGGGTTGGCAGTAATGGTCTCATGAAGATTTTGTGTTTGTATGTAAATAAGGAAACACATGTCAGTGTTGTACTAGGCTCCAGGTTCAATGAATATATTTCCTAAAGAAAAAAACAAAATATCTTTCCTAGGAGTTTTTTTTTTTTTCTCATTGCTGTAGATCACAGTATTTTTGTTTTTAGCAAAAAAGCAATATAAAAACTATCTGCCACATTTAGTTGGAATAACTTGGAAAAAATAATATGGTATGTCAGGTAATTGGAGCCAACCCTTGAGTTTTTTTGTGAAGCTTATTTTAAACAAGTGCTATAAAAATATTACAGTTCTTCTGAAGGTATTGTATAATTTGGTCATGAAATATATGGCTAATTTTAGTTTTAAAATGTTACAATTGATCTAGCATTTTTATTCAAATCTTAAAACTTGTGGTTCAGCGGATTTAAAATTTTAAAGCTATCTCCATATGTACAGTAGCATGGCAATGCCCCTTCTCTCCCATCACATTGAGAAAGGAGTTCTGGAGGCTACCACTAGAGGGTGCATTTCTTTTATCTGGTTTTCTGCAACAAGAGGGATTGTGTTAATCATAAACAGAACAAGGGAATGAGATTTTCCTGATGTATTATTAAAAGAGAAATACTGCAATAAAGTGTTAAAGAAATGAAAGCTATGTGGGCAAAAACTTGTTGAACCAACATTGAGAGCTACTTGATCGTAACTATCCTGTATGTGTCTTTAATTTGGTTTTTAAAATCAGAGTAACAAATCTCTAAGCCCAGTCTGATATTAAGCTGATAAAGCCTCAGAGGCATGTCGAATGCAGGAAACTGCATGTGAAGCTACCCACAGTAAGTACTCTCTCACTCAGACTTTCACGCCCCGAGGTGCTGCGCTACACACAAGGTTGTTTACACTCTTCAAGGCTGTGCACAGGCTTTGCCCCTGTCCTCATCCTTCACCCCCCACACAGGCATTCACTTTCTCGCAAGTATCAACATACTTACCCACACCTCACTGACTATCCACAGCCTGGTCCTTGGTAATCCTCTGACTTATAGGCAGTGCAGTGTGCCCCAAGCAAATCCCATTCCTTCAAAATGCAGTCACCTCTCAAGATGAAGTTTGGCTAAAACACATCAGAGGCAAAACAGAACAATGTTTTTTTTTGTTCCCTTCATGTTTGCCTCGTTGCTTTACATTCTTCTTTTCTGTAAGCAAATAACTGTTCAGTGTGCCAATTCAAGACAAGTAAGGCAAATATTATTCAGACCCTTATTAGATCTTTGTTTAAAGAAAAAAAATTAATTCAACCAACATGTTTCTTCTGACTGACAGGGTTGCCTTTCAACCTCAAAGACATACAAATGAGGACTATGCAAATAAGCTGGTAAGCAATTATTGGAATGGTTTGATTACTGTAATGTCAATAATTATTTCATTGGTTATTATGCTATTTAGTTTTTTTTTTCAAATATGATGCTACTTTCAAAATATTTTTATGACACATTGCTGTGTCTTTTTTCATAACCTTTTTTCATATCTTGGGTAAATGTGAATAATTTAAAATCTAAATCTGCAAAGTGTATGAAAAACTCTAGGCCACTGCTATTCTTACTGCAGCAAGAATAGCAGTGACACTTGACTTTGTTTGACATAATATGTTATTTTGACTGGATATTTACCAATCTCATATTAATTTAATGCTCAGTCAATCATAATTCCTCAACATATGCCTGTTTAAATACGTCATATACTATTGAAATGGGATCTATGTGTTTTGGTTTTGGAAGATGTACTTCAATATTTCTTCAATGCCAAATCATGCATATACGTATATGATATATTCCATGTTTATTTATTTTAAGCATATAATCCTATTGTTTATAAAAATAAATTTATTTTTAAAATATGTAAAAGACTCTAACCTTGGGCGGTAAAAATGAAACTACAAACCACATCTCAATTCTATATGAATGACAAATATTTATTTGGGTTACCACTTACATATTTATTATGTTTTTGTTCATTTATGTTTCTTTTTTCTTTTGTGAGGTAATACAAATGAGTTCAAGGTCATACTATAGCATCTGAATTAGATTTAAGTCTTCATCCAGAAATTTGTTTGATGACCTAAAACTTGTAATTGCAAAAAATACGAAAATGGCAAAAACAGAAGAAATTTCTAAAGGGAAACTGTGGCTTTTGTTGGTCTCCTGTAGTACGATCCAACTCACTCATGATTCCTAAACTGCAAAAAGTATGACTAAAAAATGTGATTATGAAATCATTTATTCTAAAAATGTTTTCAACTCTTTGAACATCAGAAATGGCCCTAGGATTGATAAAGGATATTTCCATTCATTGCAACTTGAAATTAGACATCCTGGAACAATAGCCCTTCAGTTTTAAAGTGTGGTAGGTGGAGGCTTAACACAAATTCTCATGTGAGAGAGCAGAGACCTGACTGTTAAGTATATTGATTGGGTAAATACAATGGTGAGACTGAAAATTGTTCTGTCTTCTGCAGGTTGATGGGATTTTTTTTTTAAATTTCCCAAGGTGTTTAGTAAAGTGTACTCATACTTCACATGAAAGCCACATATCGGAGCTACATTTTAGGCATTACCTTGATGTCTGACAAAGTTAAATATGCAAAAGAAGTCTTGTATTGAATGTATAGTAGTCCACATGAGGTATCAGCAGTACCATTTGTGATATCTTTTTTATTTTTTTTAATTTTAGAGATATGAACATTTTTGCATAATGCAATTACATAATCCACACAAACCATAACCTCTGTTTAACTCAAGCGTCATTTAATCTCACTCTGATAATACCCCAGAAGGCATTGCTGTGTATTTTCTCTCGTGGTCTGGTGATCCAGCTGATGTGTAATGGCTTACTGCTAACAACTTTACAGGTATTGGGTTTTGTTTCTCTTCTGATTTGGATCTCTGCCTAGTGCCACAACACATTACTGTTTTCTCATCCCATTGCTCCCTCATTTACCTTCTTATACTGATCTATTAGAGAACATTTTTCTTAAGACTTTTACTTGAAATAGGCTGAGTTGGTTAAAGGTGTTCAAAGAACACAGCTGAGGGTTTTTGTGTTATTTGCAAAATATTAATTTTGCAAATATATATATATATATATATATATATATATATATATATATATATATATATAATATATATATATATATCTACGTATATATATATGTACATATTTACATGTACATAAATGTTTATGGAGATATACATATATGCATATTTATGCGAAAGAAGTCTTGTATTGAATGTATAGTTGTCCACATTGTACATGTGGACAACTATACATTCATATAACGTGTGTAAGACGTACCAGTGTGACCTATTAAAGATGGAGAACATTGACCTGAAACAAGAACCATTGTACAGAAATTTTTATTGTATTTTCTACTTCTTACTTTAGTTGAAATAGTGGTTTCATTACA